AAACATCTCAATACATTCAGTCCAAAGTTGCAAAGAGCAATTTAGCGCAGGGTCAACTATTGCCACTACCTAAGCAGCAACTCTTTTGCTGCAGAATCCTCACGAGAGGATGACTATTTAGTCAGGCAACCAACTTTTTGCTACTGTAGATATATGAATATTTGGCTACTGCAAATGGAGTAGTCTAACCATGAAATGGTTGCTGCTGTAGTACTCCAACCAGCCTGAAGCTATATGAAGTCTAACCAACAACTGTAGTGCTCCAGCCTGAAGCTATTCTGTAGGCCTGAAGCTATAAATTTTTGTTTCCTTGGCAAAAAATTCAGTTTACAAATTTTTGCAAAATCTGTATTTTGTAGTACTGTTTTGGTTGCAGTAGTTTTTCAGTAGCTTGTTAACTTGCTGATGCTTTCTTAATTATGTGCAGCTGCTCCACTGAAAGTTCTTTAGTGTATCTTATGCTTAGTGTTAATTCTTTGCAGCTACTCCAAAAGGTGTGTAGATACACAGATAACAAATATGTGGTTCCATACTAGTTGGAACACTTTTTGCTTAAATGATGTGCATGATAGATTTATCCAGCCGCTGCACTTTACTGAACAGTTGTTTCCTAGACATGTTGGGTTTTTCAAACCTTCTCTTGGGAGTAATTATACTTGTTAACTGCTGTCCTTTTGCAAGAAAAAGGAAAGCTGCTATCCTGAATGAATGTAAAAATACTATAACAAGCCCTTCTTTGTTGCATTTAGGGGCATTGCAAGGCACTGCAATTACCTCGGAGATCTACTCTTGGCGCTGATTAGCTACAGAACCAGAACGCCATGTTGTATTGTTATTGTAGACCGTGATGATCATGCAGAACTAAATGGCAAGTTCTTCTGTACATTGTTCTTTGATATCCAGTTTTGAATTGAAGTTGCATCGATCTCTAGCTTCGACGCCGTGTTGTGATCTAATCTGGTGCGTGCAGGCGTTACGGGCCAAGGACCTGAACGAGATGTTCCCGGTGGTGGACGCAGAGGCGGCGCCCATGGAGGACGCCCCTCCACCACTGCTCCGACGCCATCCACGTCTTCTTACCTTCAGTTTCTTCTTCTTCTTCCCGTACCCTCCATTCCTTTGACTGAGATGTGATGTGGTTTCTTGCCATGAATGAGCAGTTATCGCTGGATGGATGTACCGGCACACAGCTCCTCCTCGCCTTCCGCTTCATCTTCGTCGCCGGCAAACTGCAGATTCAGGAGGACCACCTCCACCTCAGCGGCCCTATCCCTGAATTCGGCGACCACAGCCACACCCAGGTAACAACTTCCCTACCCCTGTTTTTCGTAGACCAACTCTGTTTTAGACTGAAACTGTATTGCAGATACGCACAGAAAAACTCACTCTGTTTTCTGCTAATAAGTCATGAGGAATAAATATATGTTGGTTGGTTTTGATGCTTATTGGTTGACACTACTATCTAGTACTATTGCTGCTGCTGCTGCTGATTAGTACGTACTAGAGCAATAATAATACATCTGCAACCAAGAGTTGCATTGAAATGAAATGACCTGACATTTAAGTAAAGGGTAAACTAACTATACTGTTGGTAATGGATCAGCGAATCAAGTGGCGTCTAATCCTGTTATGTGTCTATGTATGTCTGCTGCATCATACCGTTGTACCCGTATGCTTTGCTTTGCTCGCTTGTGAATAACCTTTGCTGGGAATTACTTTTACTTGGTGCACAACCTTTGGTTGCAGCAAATTTGCAAATGTCGTGCCCGCGTTGTGAATTCAGAACCTATAATAACATCACTGATTCATTCTGCACTAGTGTACTGTAGTAATTTAATCTGCCTAGTGAGTTTGATGTCTATTAAGCTGTTACTTGCAACTGTTCAATTTTTTGAAAGTACAATGTTGTATTGAATATCTTACTAGAGAATTTAAGTTCTAGTTTGAATTGCTACTATTAATGATGAATGGTTGAGTTTTAAAACTTGAAGCAGAAACTACTTTCTAATGTGAAATTTCGTTAAATATATATTTTCCCGATAAGTGTATCTGTTGTCATCACTCATTTGTTGGCAAATATGCAATCTCATAAATTTCCTATTCTATATTTTTATCTTGTCGTCATCACCCATTTGTTGGGCTGTATAAGTGTATCTATTGTCCGGTTTTTCTATCATATTTCCTGATGTACTTCTACATATATATGTTGGTTGTAATCTGCTTGAACGATCCAGTACTTGATATTCCATTCTGTTCTTGTAGGTGAATGGAGCTTGTGTTGTTGGTAGAACTCCGTTGATGGCTTCTTCCTATGTTGAAGAGCATGTTTCGTGGTATCCAAGAGTAGCTAGCTTTAACTTGGCAGAGTGTTTTATTTTTCAATCGCAATATTTGTGATTGTGTGGAACATTGTATGGTTATGTACGTGAAGTTTTAAGTTCCTGGGCATGCAATATTTGTAGGTTAAACTGGTTGTTGTGATGTGAATGAGTGTATGGAGTTTCACATGTTCTGCTCTGTACAGAATATATTGTAATAAACCTATTTTGGTTGTTATTTGAAGATTTTCATATTCTTTTCTTCTTTCCGTTTGATATATACTGCTTAAAAAGCGATGTGGATCCACTGCCAGGAAAAATCTGACAATTGGGACCCATCTAAAAACTGGACCACAAAAAACCCTCGAAAATAAAAATGAAATGGACCGCAAAAGGCCATGCCTAGAAAATAAAAAGGCCAAATTGTTGGGCCAGGCCCATGTAGCTAGAGAAAATTAATAGAGAAAATATACAGTAAAAAGGCCGAATTGTTGGGCTAGGCCCATGTAGAAAATCGAATTGGACCGAACTGAATCTTGTGCCACGTCAGATTGCCATGCTGGATGCCTACGTGGCCTGGGGAGGTTGCTAGTGACCAAAACGCCATAGTAGACGTATTTTGGTCGTAAACGTCTTCGACCATTCCAGAAGAAAGGTCGCTATAGTCAGTTTATGACCGCCAGCTTTTGACCTTCTGTTTTTGGTCACAAAAAGGTCGCAAATGGAAATTTGTGACCTTTCAGTGACCAATAGTGGTGGTCACAAGTTGACATATTTCTTGTAGTGGCATCCGACAATATGGGCCCATGTTGAAAACCCTCATGTAGCTCCGTCTAGAACCCTCACTCTGCTCTTCGCGCCACATTCATGCCGGTCAAAGCAGACGTGACCGCATGAGATGACGGGATGTTTCCCTACACACATTCATGCCCGCCGACCAGCCAATTGGCCTGCCCAGTATTCACACCGGTGCATTGGCCGAGAAGCCTACTCTGGCCGCTACCCGCATTGAAGCAGATCCAGTCTGTCAGTCTCGGATATTTAAGCCGTCCACCCACGGATGCAAACCCTACACTGTCGCCTTCCCTCTCCCCAAATTTGCTCCAATGGGAAAGTCGAACAGCTCGAAGTGGTTCTCCGCGACCCCCGCCGGCTCGCGTTCTCCGGGCTTATCTGCATCGACCTCTCCCTCACACGTGAAGCTGAATTATATCTCCTCGAATGACGAAGAGCAGCAACAGTCGTTCCTCCTCGTCGAGGCCACCACAATGAACAAGGAGTTCGTGCAGCAGATAGAGTTGTTGTTGTTGGAGCGGTCGCGCTACAATCGTGATCCAGTGTCACTATCCCAATTGGTCCCACGCAATAGCGACATACAAATAGGATGCTGCATGAAGGAGTCGTTGTCGCCCCTGGTGCGAAGCCATCTCCACCGCGACAAGGAGGTGACACCGATGTCCCTGTCCATTGGCAGTCTAGGAGCCAATGGCTCCCGACTGCCGTGAAGGAGTCATGCTCCTCATCTCGTCCACGGTCCGGGAGCCAGTGGCGCCTGACCGACACGCAGGAGCCTTCACCCTCTCGACGATCTCCAAAGACGCGTGGCCGCTCCACCTACTACCTAGGTGGTGATGGCGGCGGCTCCTCCACATTGACGGTGGCACCCTAGCACCCTTCGAGGCGGCGCAACGGGCAACGTCGGGCATTGTTCAGGCGGTTGGACGTCGCACTTCCTGGATCTTGGAGGAACCCCCGCTCGTTGAGGCATGGTCCATCAAACGGTCCAGGACCACCGCGGAGACCTCCATGTGAAACTTTGTTAAGTTTCATCACCATTGGTACCACACATAGTTTTTAGTTTTTAAAGTTTTAGATTTTATTGTGAAGTGAAACTTTGTTAAATTTTGTCCCTTTTGGTTGTAATATATCAAAGTTTAACAAATATCATCCAGTCTAGCATGAATTTCATCTTTAAAAAAAAATCCATTAGAAATAGGTCACCTGCCCCGATTGCTGTTCTCGTACATTTGGTGATGTCCACACACAATTGTTATCCTCGGACATTTGGTGATGTCAAGACGTGTCAGAGAAGATTTGGTGATCAGCCTTTGAGTTGTCCTAAGTTGCTCCCAAACAACGGTAGGCAAACAGTTGCATGCTGAAATAGGTGGCAGGTTGGCTTTAGCAACATGCTGAGACAACTGTGGAGAATTGTCACCGAAACATAATATAATCAACCATCAAATCAGCATAAACACTACACAAGAGGAATAAATTTGCAGAATAAAAAATAAAGCAGTATTACAAATGTCTTTTTTATATATATAATTGTCTGGTCTCAACAGGCCTGAACGGTACCAGTCATGACGTCTGAGATAACAGAGTATACACAGAGAACAAACTGTCCATTAAAGCAGAAACCCGACATAATAACACACATATCCGAAAAAGCAAAAGCTCACCCATGAAATATTCAGAAGTCACACATAGCACTTGCTATTCTTTTTTATATATAGTTTTCTGTTTTTTGGTTTTTTTGTATGTCCATCTACATTTTTTTTAATTTTTTTTGGTGTTTTCATGCTCCCTTTTTCCGAACAAACTGGATCTTCATTCCTCATCCGAAGTAGAAGAGTTGAGCATGCCGTAACCAGTGAAAACTCGGCATCTCTTTGTTGTGTATCAAAAGGTATCGCTTCTGAGTAAACTTCTCTCGGTCTGCTGCCCAAAAATAGGCCCACTGCCATTGCTGTGTAGTCCTCTGAAGGTAGGTGCTTGATAGCCTATACTAACTGAAGTTGCTGATCTAGTAAGGAGAGCTTCACGAGGATAGTATGTCCCCTCAAGTCCAACAGATTGAAGCTGAGACGCCAATGAATCAATGTTGGATGTCACGGGGGAACGTGAACCAGAAGAATTTCCATCAGAATAATTTGGTCTGGGAAGCAACCAAATCTCCCATCTTGCACGCCTCCGTATTTTGTCACCCTAACAAAGCAGAAAAAAGTTAAGCCTTTCAATGGGAACTGTGGTGTGACTGGTAGTATGTCACCTAAGGAATATTTTGATAAAGAGTGGTCATATTCAGGGTTCTTTGTCACCAATGTTAAATACAGAGCAAAAGGGAGCATGCGGCGTTATACGTGTACAACTAAGGAAAGCAGCGAGTGAACTGGAATGTGACTGATTCAAGTGACCTTCATTACAAGTTCACATAAGAATTGCAGCAATAAGCTGCCAATTGTAGTAGTGTTTAAAAGTGCAATCTGACATGCCAAATGGCGGCCTAGACTTGTAATTAACATAATTTTTTGTTAATCAAAGGAACTTTGCAAGTGAAGATGTGGTGCTCTATTCATGTGTGATGAAATTTAAAAAAAGACAGCCTGGTGAAATATGAGATCATGTACTTCCTCCGTTCCTAAATATAGTCTTTTTAGAGATTCCACTATGCACTACATAGTGATGTATATTGCTCAATTTACTCCGTATGTAGTCCGTAGTGGAATCTCTAAAGACTTATATTTAGGGAGGTAGTAGTATAGAACCATAAAAATGCTCTAAGCAATTGCTTCAAGATCCCATTGTGTGGTTGACCACCAAGGATACTAATAGAACTCTTCAGATAAACAAGAAGGATAATCTGGACATAAACAGGGCATGCACTCTAATATTCTTACCCAGTTGTCTGTAACCAAAGGTGGACATACAAGCTATGCCCCGCTGCTATTGCATAAAGAGTGACATAGTAGGCCATAACTGAAGGAGGAGATACAAACTTTTTGAAATGAATCTAAATCATGGTATCTACATTTGTGAAGATTATAGACCAAACTTAGCATTGTTGAGTTCAGAAAGAGAAGCCATTTTCTTTGGAACACTCCTACAACATCTTCAGCATGGCAAGATATGTTAGAATATCATGTTCAACCCTTCTAAAGTTGTGCTTAATCGGTTGTTTATAAGTTATTTATAGCATCACCAATTAAGTTTAATTTTAGATTAAGTCAAATCATGGCAAATGACATCAGAAAATTGATTACCTGTACTTCCACCACAGTAGACTGCATGACTGTATCCAAGATAAACTGTAAACTATTAGTCAAGTTTTTGACTTGTCCAATACAATATAGGAGCCTTTGGACCTGTGCAAAATAATTTAGTTGAGCAATCTGTCCTTTTCTTGTAATAAAGAAAACAAAATATTTTTTTGAATACTCTGGATAGAGTTGTCTCATCTCATTATGCTCAGAAAAGAACACCACATTTACTAGGCAATGACCCTTTGATATACCAACAGATGTAGCTTTCGGGAAAAAAAGGGTATAGCAACAGATGCACAAGCACAATTTTTCACAGCTATAAATGCTTAATGAAGTATAGTGTTGAATAAGGGCAAACCACAGTCAGCACAATACACCTGGCAGCTACAAAACAAAATAGAGTAGCAGAAAAGAGAAATGGCTCCCTTTCGAACTTGAAATCTCCAAAACTTTTAACGAGCCCTTTGTTAGCTCTACAATGAAAATATGTGCAAGCCACTTTCAGAGTAGTTTGTGTATTGTAAGTGACACATGCTAGGGCTGATAAGGATCTCAGGACCAAGGAGTGTAGCAATGAGGGTATGGCTTCAAGGAGTGAGGCTAGAGCCATGGCTCCGCAGATGAGAGGGAGAAAAGGTTGGGGACAGGGATTATAACTTTACTAGTAGTTGATAATTCTCATTGATTGCATAATACACATGGATAGAAAAGTCTGACTTGGTGCTGGGAAAGAGGATCTCTAGTTTCCTAACAAATGGTATTTGTACATTCCTAACTAGATCGATCTCCTGCCTTGCAAAACTATAACTAGTGAAAAGAAAAATAAGAGCATTCACTTGGCAATCTTATGGGCCATACCACTGTCTTGCTTATCTCAACTATTAAAAATAATGCACATCCAGGACAGAATGACGCAAAAATCCACAACATTTAAACAAGCTAATGACTAATCCAGAAGTATTCCAAGCATAACAGACAATCAAAAGTTTTCAGGTCAACATGACAAGAAGATGGAGTCATGGAGATGGTATTCTGGATACACAATAGGAAAGGGCAATCATTCTCAACCTTGGGAATAAAACTGGGAATCTACAGAGACAAAAATCTACTGATGTCTGCACCAGTTTTTGCTAGCGTCATGCGACTTTAAGTTTGTTGAGTACAATATGAGAAAGCTTAATCACATCAAACAATCATGCTGACAAGCGAAAAAATGGAAAAAATTGTTCTAAAAGATAACCTGTTTTTCTATGTCAAATATAATTTTCAAGTATAACGTACTTTTTGGGACAAATGTACACATAATTTTCAAGTATCCAATCTAAATATAATCAAAAATACTAGTCAAAGTTTTGAGGTTTGACATTGCTAATGTCCAGAACGGCAGCTTTTAGGGATCGTAAAATTCTAGCAAATATATGAGCAAGACCAAAACTGTTGAAAACAAGAAAAAATGGAAAAAAAATTGTTCTAAAATATAACTTGCTTTTCTATGTCAACACTTTAAAGTTCATAAATGAGTTAAACTAATTGTAGGTTCCTTTAAAGTGACAACCATTGACTATATATATAGCAGCGACATTCTTCCAAGCCTTGCATAAATACGAGTGACAGTCTTCAACTATTTCCGTCCAGAAAAAAACATTTTAACTGCAGACAGTTCACGACAGAGTGGCAGGAATTGCCCGAAACAGAACTTGATTGCAGGTGCTACCAATGAAGTGTTGATACATATGCACTCTACAATAAACAATAATATAAAGATATATTGAAAACGGCTTGTGAAGTGGTGGGCCAGCATAGATGTTACAGGTGGAGCTACAAGGAACACAAACCGTCAGTCCATGCAAAGTTCATATAAATCTGTGGTGGCAAAAGAAGGTGAATTCAAGTGCAACATTACCAGATCATACATATTCATAGCAGACCCCAGGAATTTAGATATTATTTTCCAACTAAAAATTAAGGAATTTTGATATTATTTCATGGAGAAGGTACTTCCTATATTCATGTTATCGCACTGGTGGTGCACACGACCAGGAGCAGTAGTCCTTTGAGAGACGGTGAATTTTAACATGTTCCACCCAAAAACATGACCACCAGCGCTCCTCTATTCTAGCAGAACCCAGGAATTTAGATGCTCCCTCCGTCCAGAATTATAAGATGTTCCAACTTTTTTTCATGTGTATAGACGCGTTTTTTCACTCATTTCAGTCAGTATGTAGTCCATATTGAGATATCCAAAACATCATATATTTCGGAAGGGAGTATTATTTTCCAACTCAAAGAAAGGAATTTATATATTATTTCAGAGACACTGTACTTCCTATGTTCATGTAACAGAACATAGATATTCATAGCAGACCCCAGGAATTTAGATATTATTTTTCAACTCAATTTTTATTTTTTACATCATGGCTCGCCCCCGCTCCGCTCGTCCCTCCTAGCTCCGCATTGCCCGCAGCCCCGCCGCCGTTGAATCCCCGTCGGTAGCCGACCCTCCCTTCCCAGCCCCGCCGCTGCTATGCCATGACGTCGTCCAACGCGGACCAAGCCGACCACGGAGCGACCCTCTTCGGTGAGCTCGTGTCCTCCGGTGACCGCTAGCTCGACTCGGGGAGCAAGTCCTCCGCGCGTTCCTACTGCAAGGTCGCCCGCCATCCCTGCCGACGCACCCTGCCCCTGGCCCCGCGGCGCCACCCAGGCAGCCTGTCAGGAGCCGCCTTGGCCCCCGCTCCGAGGTGCACCGAGCCTCCGACGCCAACGCGGATGGTTTCCGCCGTTGTCGCCCGACCATGGTGGCCAGCCCCGCCCACTAGCGCACCGCCCGGCACGGACCCGGGCCGGGACCAAGGGGCCGACAACGACCCAGGCCATGGCCACGGCCCTGGACGTGCACGTCGCCGCGGCCGCAAGTGTAGGCGCACGGAACCTCAGCCCACCGGCCGCCAACAGCATGGCGGTGGACAACCTGGGATGGCACGCCGGTCTCCAAACCTCCCGTGCGGATGGTGTGGCCACGGCGACGGGATGGCTTGTCCCGCCCGACACGTATGGCCGCTCAGCCAAGGAACGACATGCTATCGTGGCCTAGTCAGCCTAGAGCCCACCATCGTCGTCACCCTGCCAAAAAAGGAAAGGGTAAAAGGCAAGATAAGCCCACTTTACCCATGGGCCAGGAGGGCAGCGCTAACGCTACCCCTGAGGGCGCGATATCAGGCTTGGCAAGGACAGCTGGCAACGCACCAATGGTTGCGGCTGCATCGGATCCGTTTGGAATCTCTATAATCCGGAGGCCACCCACGAGCCTGAGACGATCGCACGGGACCACCAGCCACCTCCCTTGATGGGCTTGTCACGACCTGGCCGTTCTTAGCAAGGTCCCAGACTCGCAAGCAGGACGTGCCAGAACAGATAGCCTCCATGTCGGGGCAAAGTGGTGCTCACCCGATTACTGATGTCAAGATGGGGCCGATCCCATGCACGAACAAGTCCACGACCCAATCCGCGCGCGAAGAGATGGATCGTGAGGCGCACGATCTTGACTCCCCTCTCTGGCCCGCACACCGCCGATCCCACCCTCAAAAGGATCACTACCGCCCTCCCCAGACCAGCGGGACCCGCAGGCACCCATGCAGAATTTGATGGGCCCAATCACTCCCGGGCCTGCTCCGGCTACCAGCTCCGGTCCCGAGCTGGCACGTCAGAACATGCATGGGTCTGGGCCAGGCCGCTTCGCTACCCCACCATCATCATGCGCCGATCACGCGGACGCGCAACAACCGCTCACTCCTGGACGCTAGGAGACTTCTTGGCCGCAGCCACCAAAGAGCTCAACGTGTTGCTGCCGGCGCCTAGGAAGAGACCACGCGACCCTCTTGATTTCACCCCCCCCCCCCGGTGGCTGTTTGGCTACCACCACGCCACCCACCGCCGAAAGACGCGCACAAGTTCAGGTGCTTCGCACACTTGGCATCGTTGGGACCAACCAGAAGATCTCAGCCGTTGAGATGAAGGCATACAACAACTTGCTTGTGGCGCCCATCCCGTTGTCAGTGCTAAGGGCCATCGTTGCACTAGTCAATCGCGAGAACCCAGCTTGCTTGCCGTCGCAGCAGACTGCCCCGGCGTGCGTTGACATCGCGTGCGAGACTTAGGGCTCTCCTAGCAGTCCCTCCCCCGTTGGTCCAATCTTTTATGGATCACGGCCTCAAGATCGTCGTTTTGAATGTGTGTCGGCTCAAGGCATGCACGCGGTGCCTTGCTATCCGCACACAGCTTGACACCACAGACGCGTCCATTGTATGCTTGCAAGAAACGAAGATGGAGTTGCTTTGCTCGCCTTTGTCCTTGACACGCTAGGCTCGGAGTTTGACAACTACACGTACCTCCCGGCCCAGGGAACGTGCAACGATATATTCTTCTCGCGTGGAAAAGCAGTGTCGTGACTATCACGACCCCTTTGTTCACCGCCAACGCACTCTCGGCCAAGGTCGCCACAACCGCCGACACGCCGTGGTGGCTTATGGTTGTCTACGGACCTCAGGAAGAAGTGGCCAAGGTCGCCTTCTTGCAGGAGCTGCGAGAGATCCGAGCAAGCTGCCCCAGACCTTGGATGCTTTGTGGTGACTTCAATCTCATCCTTTGCACCAAGGACAAGAGCACGAGCAATCTCAATAGACGCATGATGGCCAAATTCCGCCGACTCGTCAACGACCTCGCACTCAAGGAGGTCTGCCTCAATGGGCGCCAGTACACATGGTCGAACGAGCAGTCACCGCTGACGTTGGTGCACCTTGGCCACGTGCTGTGCACCTCGAACAAGAAGACGCACATGGTGAATGCCACCTACGGTGCCTTGCGTCTGTCGTGTCGGACCACTGCTCGTTGTTGCTGGATTGCGTCCCCGCGCCTATGATGCATCGCAGATTCCATTTCGAGGACCACTGGTTGCGCATGGACGGGTTCCACGATAAAATGACCACGACTTGGGGTTCCGCTCATGACCCGGACCCATTCCGCCGCTGATGCTGCGCCTACAAGCCACAGCGCGCAGCTTGACGAGTTGGAGTGCCAAAGCAGTAGGCAACGTCAAGGCCAAGCTGGCTGTTTCACACGAGCTCATTGCGCACTTTGACAAGGCCCTGGAAGAATGCATCCTCACGCCTCCTGAAGACTGACCGCGCAAACAACTGAAGGTTTCTTACCCTGGCCTCGCGTCCCTGGAGCATATGATTGCAAGACAGCATGCCCGCCTCGCCAACCTCAAAGACGAAGACGCCAACACCGCCTTCTTCCACCGACAATGCTCAGCCTCTCCATGCACGGCACGGTGCTCACCGAGCACGACGCAATGGCGGGGGCTGCATTATCCGGCACTACGATGCCCCGGCATAGCGTAGAGCGCAAACACACGATGGACCTGTCGCGAGCTCATCGAGGGGAGCGATCTCTCAGATCTTGACGTGCCCTTCTGCCCAACGGAGATCTGGGAAGCCATAAAGCGCCTGCCCGCGCGCAAGTCGCCAGGGCCCGAAGGCTTTACTGCTGAATTCTTGCGGGCGTGTTGGAGCACCATCAAGTAGGATTTCGTGGACGTGTTCCAGCAGCTATTCGAGCTACGCAGCCGAGGCTTCTGCAAGTTAAACCACGCCCTCCTAATGCTCATGTCGAAGTGTGTCGACACCGAAGAGCTGCACGATTATTGCCCGATTTGCTTAATCTATATCATGGCCAAGATCTTCACCAAGGCACTATCGTTGCTGCTTTCCCTAAAGCTGGATCTCCTTGTCAGCCGCAATCAAAACGTGTTCATCATCGAAAGAAGCCTCCATGATAACTTCGTGCTCGTCAGGCAATCACTCCAGCTACTGCACCAACTAGGTGCCCCCAGAGTGATGCTCAAGGAGATCCAGAGCCATCGTAATATGAGCGTTGACAAGGAGGGTTCGGGAACCGCTTCCTCGAGTGGGTTGCTATCCTCTTGTCCTCCGCCAGCACTCGCGTCTTGATGAATGGTGTACCAGGCCCCCCTATTTGGCACCAAGAAGGGCTTCAGCACGACAACTCCTTGTCCCTGCAACTATTCGTCCTTCAGCGCGCCCATGAAACTGACATCCTTGCACAGTTGCATCCCCAGAGGCTGATTACAAAGATATCGCTCTACGCCGACGATGTCATGCTCTTCTGCCATGCCACAGAGAGCGACGTGTCCGTGATCAAAGAGATCCTTGCCTTGTTTGGCAGAGCGTCCGGCCTAAAGGTAAACTACGCTAAGAGCTATGCCACGGTCCTGCATGGGGACCAGACCACCGAGTCCATATCCAGCTTGGGATGCCCAGTCACCGAGCTCCCGATCACCTACCTCGGCATCCCCTTGACGACGCGCCGCCCCTCCGCTGCGCAACTGCAACCCCTCGTCGACAAGGTCGCCGACCGCCTGCCCATTTGGAAGGCATGGCTCATGAACAAAGCCGGCAGACTGGCCCTTGTCAAGTTCATCCTTTGTGCCATCCCGGTCCACCAGTTGCTTGCGTTCGCTCCTCCGAAGAAAACCTTGCAACAGGTCGAGAAACTTCAGAGGGGATTTCTCTGTTCTGGGCACGCTATGGCCAAGGGAGGGCATTGCCATGTCACTGGCGTCATGTTTGCCGCCCACACGAGCTTTGCGGCCTTGGATTCCGCGACTTGGAGCGCACCAGGCTTGCGCTCAGATTACGATGGCTCTGGCTCTCGCGAACAGACCCAGCATGCGCTTGGCAAGGGCTGGACCTCCAATTCTCCAGCAACGAGCGCGTGCTTTTCTCCACATCTACCTACACAACCAATGGGAACGGAATGAGCGCCTTATTTTGGGAGGGGATCGATGGCTCAATGGGCGGTCTATTGGCGAGCTCATGCCCGCACTCTACAGTTGCATCCCAAAACGCTCATGCAAGGCCAGAATGGTGGCGAAAGGGCTCCATGGCAATGCCTGGGCTCGTGACATTCACGGCGTTCTTGGCATCCACGAGATTAGCCAATACCTGCAGCTTTGGCACATCACGCAAAGCACTACACTCACTGACACCCTGACCAGCTGATCTAGAAGTGGACTGCAAATGGCATCTACTCGGCGCAATCCTGCTACGCGGCCACTTTCCAAGGCTCAATGCACTGCTACTCATGGAAGCTAATTTGGAAGTCTTGGGCGCCGCCTCGGGTCAAATTCTTTCACTGGCTGGCCAACCTCGACCGCTGCTTGACCGCGGATTGTTTGGCTCGCCACGATCTACAACATCACCCACGCTGCCTACTCTGCGATCTGGCGCCAGAAACGATACGACACTTGCTGCTGCACTGCCCTTTCACATGGCAGGCATGGCATGAGACGTTGCCTGGCTTCGCATATCGACGAAGATCCCCAACCAAGAGCCCACACTCATGGACTGGTGGTGGCACGCCAAGGCCAACATGCCGCAGATGCAGCGCAAGGTCCTGCAATCCATCGCGCTCCTTGTAGCATAGGGATAGTTGCGTCTTCGACAACACAACGCCCTCCCTAGACATGCTATTGGTTAGAATCAAGGAGGAAGCCTGCCTCTGGGCAAAGGCCGAAGCCGCAGGACTTAAGAGTGGTTCTGCCCCCTTCATGGGATGTGCATTAAGAGTCTGTAACCTGATAACCCGATCGTCCGCCCTCAGACGCTTGTAACTAACTTCCTTTTCAGCGAAAAGAAACGCAAATCTTTTGCATTTTCTTGAAAAAAAAATAACTCAAAAATAAAAGAATTTAGATATTATTTCAGGGACAATGTACTTCCTAAATTCATGTTATCGCACTGGTGGTAGTCCTTAGTGCGAAGGCAGCGCTCCTACTGGTTGCTAGAAAAAAAATGCAAGTTATACATTTTTGTTTCGCTATATGGTCATGTTAGTAACATTACAACGCCATTTTTTTTTATAAAATGTTGCTATCAATGTCCAAGTGCGTCCAATACAAACCACTACGTACAACTTTAATTTTCATTTCCTCTATACTGATCATTTATCCAAACATTGCTACTACAGAACTATGGGCTGTCAAGTACAGAAGCACGTGATAAATTTCTTTAGTTTGAAGGAACAAGTGTCAATTCATGTTCAATTGCATCCAAACCAGAATTTAAATTATCTTGGCGTAAATTTCCATGTTCTGATTTCATTTGCAAGCAATGAATGCACACATCCTAAGACAATCTATATTTTTTAATGCAGGGAGGTCAGATAATAAAACACAAGTGCCAGTGTTAGAAAATGATTTGCCAAAAGTAGAAGAAAGAATCACAAGGTTCAGTGTTTGCATTTGGACAAAAGAACTAGGACTTACATAGCACCATAAACCAAGCATTGGAGCACACAATGCGCCGAATTAACTAACTATCAAGGGTAGAGTCCGAAAGTGCACGAATAATTGCATAGATTGAGGCTCTTTATTTGATGTTACTTAGAAGTGTCAATGCTATTTGTGTATGGCCAGATTTCATTTTATTGAAATCCACAACAAACGGCTACATTTAAAGAGTACTTGAGTATGTCTCTTCTTGTAACCCGAGAACTTACACCGATCAGGTAACAGGGGAAGAAAGAATCATAAAAAATTAACTTGGAACAGATTTATCTAATTTAAGATGTGCAGGAGCTGAATTCCAATGCAACTGTAGCTTCATGTGGCAGAGTCTAAATTTTCTAGGCATGATGTAAAGCTCTTTACCCAAGTTATATCAACCACACCATAAGTATACATCCAATGTCCAACTGATAGCAAATCAACCACACCATTACTAAACATCCAATGTTAACTGATACCAAAATAGCAAACCTGCAAACTCAGTTTGAATGGATAAAAAAATGCTAAATGACAACTCTCCATCTCCCACTCAATCAGCAAGTAAACAACTATAGAAGGTGACCAGAACATTACTAGACTATTGATGACTTTCCGAATAGACTGCTGGATTATAGTAGCAAAGCAATAAAGAACTGGGGATTTTTCTAAAATAAAACCACCGTGTAAAACCAGCAAACTAACCTGGTTAAAGCCAGCAATCAAGGATAATGGCACCCAACCACGGTCATCCATATGTCTCCTCAAGAATATGTCCTTGCACAAATTTTCATCACTGCAAAAAATGAGCAAGCGGGCAAGCGGCTCAATAAAATGACCTCAGTGGTGGCGTAGTGTTTTCTATAAATTAAGACGGAGAAATACCTAAAGTAGTAGTCTATCTGCACCAGTAGGTCCCTTTGAAGTTGTTCCAGTGGAGAAATTAGCATGGCTGGAGGGGTTGGTGGAGGAGGCGCAAAAGGAAGGGCTTGAAGACCATCCGAAGGGGGCACGGCAAAATAGTAAACATGAGGTGCCATCTCTGCTGTTTAAAATAAAGCAAATTAAGGTGACATAACAATTGCACAAAGCCATGTTCTCACAAAGAGCATGAATAACATACCAGGGAATCCCATAGGCGCCCCATAAGGTGGTGTCTGTGGAGCAGCAGTTCCATAAGGTGGTGTCTGTGGAGTGGCAGGGCCGGCAAATGGTGGCGCAGGAGGTCCCGCCGCTAAAACAGCCAGAGGAGGAGGAGCCCTAATGAACGATGGCTGGTGAACTCGATGCTGGTGCCCTGGCCCATGTCCATCTCTACGGCCGCCACCACGCCGTTGCCCATCAAACCCACCATGGTGCTCATGACCATGGCGACTACCACCTCCACCATTACCCCTTCTGCTCCCCCCACCATAACTGCCACCTCGGCCATGAGGATGGGAACCAAAACGGCCATTTTGATGATGAACGCCGGTACCATTGCTCCGGGCATTAGGAGAGTATCCTACAGATTGCTCTGGAATAAGAGCATGCATCTCTGGCCCGTCATCCCCTGCAGGCATCATCAACACACGCCGGACTGGTGGACTACTGGTCACGTCGTCCTTAACAGTGGTAGCATCCGGAGCGCCAGAGATGTCCAAAGACACCGGTAAAATCACTGTCTCCTGAGACCATTCCCACAAACAATCAAAACACAATCTGGTCAGACCGTACAAAATATAAACACCAAAAATCCTAAATAGATCAAACACTGAGACAGGATCCAACTCCTATAATACTAAGTAAATCGAACACTGAAATAAACTAACAGCTCACAGTGGAAGGAGGAACGTACCAGTGCATCCTGATCAGGGGTAGCATCCGGAGCGTCGGAGATGTCCAAGGACACGGGCAAGATAGCTGCCACCTGAGACCATTCCAACAATAGCAAAAGCAATATCATCAGACGGTACGAAATCTAACCGCAATAAATCATAAATGAATCAAGCACTGATACGAAATCCAACTCCGATAGTAAGTAAATCAGAAACTGAGATGAACTGACAACTCACAGTGGAAGGGGGAGGAGCGGCCTTAGGCGACGCCTTGGGCGGTGTGGGCGGCTGGGGAGAGGCCAGCCCAGGAAGCGCCGGCCAGGAGTCGGCGTCCATGATGGGGCTCCCGGGCGCCACCAGCACCGGCCCGTTCTCCGGGCGCTTCCACGCGGTGGCGGCCGCCCTCTTCGCCGCGACGGGACTACCGTGGGGCGGCGTCCCCGCGCCAGCGAGGGCAGCGTGCGGGTCGGCGGCAACGGAAGCCATCCTCCACACCTCCTCTATCCGATCGGGCGGTGCAGGTTCCACGGGGCGATGAATCAAACGCGGAGGCGGTCGGCGGGGATGACGATGGCGGATGGCGGCGGGATCGGTTCTCAGTGGTACGGCATGGGTCGATCGGGGCCGAGAGTTCCAAATATTGCCGCGCCGGCGGCGATCGGATCGGGGAGGGGGAGCAGCGGGAGGACGAGGAGGAGGCGGTGGTGCGGCGCGGCGGCTCGCTGCTCTTCCCTACCCTTCCCTTCCCACGGGCGGAATGGACGCGGAGGGGATCGCCCCCTTGCCGGTGGGGCACAAAAGGGGAGCCGCACGCAGCCAGCCAGGTCCATTCACACCGTCCCGGGCCGTCCGATCCGGATCGATCGACGGCCGTGGTGCCTCGTGGGCCCCGGCGCCGCTCTAAAGTTGCTCGCGCTGGCGTCTGCTTGGCTGACGAGCGCGCTGGCGCCGCACCACCTGGCCCACCTGGCTGCGGCGCTGGTGGTTGCTGTGGGTGTGACACCTCGGGGGAGTGGGACGGCCGTCCGATGGAACATCGACGGCTGCGAGGTTGCGGAGGATCCACGTCCGGGCAAAGCGTCGTCCGGATTCGCAAATCCACCGGCTGCGGACTGCACACGCCGCCCCCGCTACGGCTGTTGCTGGATTTCAATAAGTGCGCGTCTCTTCGTTAAACAGACGGAATTAGCGGACGAGAAATGTTACTCTGGTTGCGTGTATCTTCGATTCAGATTCGCTGACTTGCCGTCTGGTCTCGTCGGTTGGATTGAAAAGCGGCGGTTCAGATCGGATGCTACAGTGTGGTTAACATTGATGTGCTTAACAGTAATTCCTATGAACAGTGATTTGGCAAATCTCAGCCTACAATTCTTGATCCCGCGAGAAAGGCAGCGGGGACTTACTGTGGCTAAGTCAGTGAATCCGGTCGCAACATGATACTTTCTATTTCGACGATAAACACACAATAGGTTTAACGATCTATTTGTCATGGACGTAATGCCTATACACTGATAATGCCATGAATAACGTCATAAGTATGTGTTTTTCTATCAATTGCCCAACAATAATTTATCTACCAACTGTATGCTATGTTCTTGAGAGAGATTCATCTAGTGAAAACTATCGCCTCCGGGTCTATTCACCATATTTACTAAAATCCTAAAAAGCCCACTGCAATTTACTTTTTTTTATTTTCTTTTGCAGTTTATATATTTGTCACCATCAGAATTAATCCTTGCAATTAAGTACAAGGGGATTGACAACCCTCTTGCCCGCGTTAGGTGCAAATATTTAGTTAGTGTGTGTATGCACTATCGACCTTTGTCTGCGTGAATCTCCTATTGGTTTGATAAACCTTGGTTCTCTACTGAGGGAAATACTATCCGCTATTATGTTGCTTCTCCCTTCCTCTTCGAGAAAAACCCAATGCAGCTCACAAGTAGCAGTACATAATTCCTATTAGCAAGTATAAGCACAACATTCACTCTACCCATAGGTTTTTTAATTGTACAATACACCAAGTGCAATTTAAAGAACATTCATCCATATTAGTGAAACCTAGGACAACATATAAAGCTTTAGGCATAGTTGAAACATGATACGTCTCCAACGTATCTATAATTTTTTTATTCTTCCATGTTGTTATACTATCGTTATTGGATGTTTTATATTCATTTTATAGCAACTTTATATCATTTTTTGGGACTAACCTATTGCCATAGTGCCCAGTGCCAGTTGCTGCTTTTTGCTTCGCAGAATATCCATATCAAACGGAGTCCACACGCACCGAAACTTTTTGAAGATTTTTTTCTGCCTAGAAAATAACCTGGGAGCCAAGGAAGTGCAGGAGGGAAGGCCTGTGGGGCCCACAAGGCACCAGGGCGCGCCAGTGGCCCCTAGTGTTGGGAAACGTAGCATGCAATTTCAAAAAACTTCCTACACTCACGCAAGATCTATCTAGGAGATGCATAGCAACGAGAGGGGGAGAGTGTGTCTACGTACCCTCGTAGACCAAAAGCGGAAGCGTTTGACAACACGGTAGAACTTCTTCTCGTTCCGACCGATCAAGCACCGAACGTACGATACCTCCGAGTTCTGCACACGTTCAGCTCGATGACGTCTCTCGAACTCTTGATCTAGCAAAGTGTCGAGGAAGTAGATGAGTTCCGTCAGCACGACGGCGTGGTGACGATGATGGTGATGTGATCCGCTCAAGGCTTCGCCTAAGCACTACGAGAATATGACCGAGGGTGTAATCTGTGGAGGGAGACGTCGCACACGGCTAAAAATTGTTGGTGTGTGTTCTAGCGGTGCCTCCCCCACATATATAGGTTGGAGGGGAGGAGAGGCAGCCAAGGGGGCGCCCCAAGTAGGAGGAATCCTACTTGAGGTCCTCCCAATTTGGCCTCCCCCTTTCCTTTTTACCGGAGGGGGGAAAGGGAAGAGAGGGGGAGGAAGGAAAGGGGGGCCGAACCCCCTCCTCCTTCTCCTATTCGGCCTCCTTCCTTAGGGGCACACTACCCCTTTGTGGGTTGGTGTGCTCCCCTCCTATGGCCCATAAGGCCCATTAATCTCCCGGGGGGTTCCGGTAACCCCCCCCCCCC